ATAGCCTTATGTTATATGTACATTTATTTAAATAGATATCTCGTAAATATAATTTTTTCCAATTTAGTGAGGTAGTTTCTATAATTTCTTTATCCCCGTGCTAGTAGTATAAAGCTAGTGACACTGCGCTTTATAACCAAAGAAATCACGACTACTGTCGCATGTGTAAACGAAAAGAGAGTGTGGGTTGTTCATGTAGCAGAGTGCATAAACTTATAAGATTATCTGCTTGATAAAGTTATCGGTTTAGATGAATACCACTATTATATTTTTATCCACAAAAACGCTGATTTCCAACTATACACAGTGTGGTGCAGAGCCGTATTTTGACAAAATTTTATCAAAAATGTCAATGTAGTACCAATGTACTTTTGGCTTCCAAAATGTACCAAAAAAGTACAATTGTACCATGAATTTCATCACTGATTTGAATCGGAAGGTGAAATAAAATGCGTATTACAATTCGAATAAGGTTACATCACAATTTTATAATTGGAATGATTTACATATATAAATGCTCAAATAATAAGTCAACTTCAAGCTTGTTCTTTTAAAGCAAATTAGTGCATAACATTTAGATATGTGTTTGTATGTTTCACAGCATGCTTTCCATAAACATCGACTTCACATCATTGCGGTAGTTCTGGCTACTTCACACAATTAACAAGAAACTTATACCTTATTCTTTTCCATAAACATGCAATGAAAGTAAAAATTACATAAACGGATGATCGAACTTGACATTGTTTAATAAAAATGTAATTTTCCAAAATATCGTAAAGAAAAATCGAAACATTTTCGCACTCGTTTTGCAATATCGTAAAACTAAGTTAAAACTACTTAGGGCCGTTTGCACCATGTCTAGTTAACGCTAACTGGAGGTACATCCTTCAGTTAAGCACGTTAACTGCTTTATCGATCACATGTTATATGATGGGTGTCGATAACGTCGATAAAGATGTTTAACTGGGAGTTAGAATTAACTAGACATGGTGCAAACGGCCCTTAGTAGAAGTCTGAAATGCGACTATGAATAGAAGTGAATTTTAAGTTGGTACTTAAATTTAAGTTGCAACTTTATTAGTTTCGACTTAGTGGCTGGACTATGAATACGCGCCACAGTTTATGTTAAGACCTTTTTTAAACGCGCCTTTATTAATAAGAATATTTTAAGTTACAATATATAACTACACAAATTTATCAAATTATTCGCTGCGTTAAAAAACTTGTCCTCTCTTGCCTCGTGTTCGCTGTAGAAAAAAGAAAAATCTCCTGCCTTTTCACCTCTTCTTCGCCATGGACTTCCACCCTTTTGACAGTCGATTTACGAAAGCCAATCAGCGATCGGCACGTAGACAGCGAGTTGACAGTTTAGATTTTATCGATATCAGATGTTGCCGGATCTTGCTCAACACTCCCCCCTGGTGTAACCTGACTAGGTTCCACCCATGATAAAAACATTACAAGGTAAATTCATTCTCTCAATTCGTCG